TTTTAAAATGAAGAAAGAGGCTCGGTGAAGTTTAAGTGGCTTGCCCAGGGACAGCAAGGTAAGTGATAGAGCCAGATTTCAAACCTTGGTTATAAGCCCAGTCATTACATTCATTGTGCAACGTAACTAAAATACCAAAGTAAGTGTACACTTTTGTGAAATGATTTAAACTGTTTTGTAAGTTAGATTTTGTTGGCATAGGGCACATTATATATGAATTTTTCTCATGATACAAAAAAATTGAAATGCACTAAGGGTGAAATTATTCATGTTTCTAGAAAACATCAGTGTATTTATTGATGGACCGTCCCAGCAGACTAGCTAGGAATCGTCTGTTGTAAGTGCTGTGACATAACACATACGTCCCCATGGGTGAACCATACACTGGCTGAGCCTCTTTTGCTTGGTTACATCATACTGCCTCTCTCCAGAAAATTCCTCTGAAGCTCAATTTCAAGCAGCAGGTAATAAGTTACAACTGAAATATGACAGCAAACTTTCTCGAAACTAAAAAGTTTTATTTTTTAAAGTACAATAAGCGTTTATCCCCCAAATGAAACGGACAAGGGGAGCCAAGTATAGTCTTCAGCCAGCATCTTGGCTTCTTCACAACCTCTTCCAGACAACCAAGAGGGAAAAGGCGACAGAAGTCAAACCTTGTGAAGGCGCTTCCTCCTCTAGCGAACCGGCGCCCCAGCTCCCCGCCGCCCGGCTCCCTCTGTCGGTTTCAGTGATCCCGCCCTCCTTCGGTCTCGCGGGTCCGACGGTGGGGAAGCCGGCTGCGGATGGGCCGCCCGCTGGACAGACTCGGGTCACCCAGAGACACGTCTCTAAGCGGGCGGAGTGTCAGGGACTCAAGCCCGTACTTCAGCTCTTACTCCAGGTTGGGCTCGCCTCTCCCCTTCCCTCAGCCTCTGCCGCCTACTCCGTGAGGAAACCGGGAACCTCCGGGCCGCCCCGCCATCAGGCCTTCTACACACTCCCCGAAGCATCTGACTTCCCTCACCGGTACTCTTCAGAGACCCTCTTGGGTCTCGGAGAATAACGACAAGCTCTCTCCTTACCTCTCGGGAGAGGGAGGGCGGAGAGGATGGGCGTCCGGTCGCGCTCGCATCCGCAGCTGCCACGCCCACCGTCCGCCCCGCCCCTCCTGGCTCCCAGCTCTCCCCCCGTCCTCTTGAGGCTCGCGCTCCCGCCGGGTGAAGAGCTGAAACGGGAGGACGGCGCGCATGCGCGCCGAGGGTGGCGCCGCTGGGCAAAGAACCGGAAACTTAGAGACAAAGTTCC